AAACAAGTTCCCAAAAAAACTATTTTTGAGAACTTGTTTTCATCTTTGCATCTATCAACTTCTCACTCATTCATAAATTAGGTCCTTATAGTGGCTGGCGTCTTTAAAGCCAATTTGGATCTGTTAAATGTTCCTTTAAAAATAATTTATATATATAGTTTAAATAGGACTCATTTTTTTAATTCTATTTTGTTTTAGAAAAGAAGAATCAACTACATTTTCTGTAAAGAAAGTTTGACTGTGATCAGCATGAAAGACATAAACACTCCAAAGGCACATAGTGTGCAGGGGACTGGACTAGATGACCTCTCGAGGTCCCTTCCAGTCCTATGATTCTTTGAAAATAGTTATCTATACCTTTATCCCTTCCAATCTGGATAAGGCTCGGAGGGGCCTCAATGCCCTCAGGGTTCTGAAAGACTTCACGTTTTGGCTGGCACAAAACTCTGCTTTTTTCAATACTTCCTGGTTGCTAAAACTTGTAAATGAAACCTGTGTAGATTGAATTGAAATTAAGATTAGTAATCACATCAGAAATGGTAAATGGAATAAAGGGGTTTACTGAATAGATGATAGTAGATATTCATGGCCTGAATGTTATATTTTTTTCTTAGGGAATGAAATGGAGTATACGTGCCTGTTCTTACTGTACCATAATTACTCTCTAACCTGGGTGGGCAAATTTTGGAATACTCTGGGCATGGAAATTGTATGGTGGGCAATGAATGCTCACAAAATTGAGGGTTGGGGTGCGGGAGGGGGTGAGGGCTCTGACTGGGGGTGTGGGATCTGGGGTGGGGCCAGAAATTAGGAGTTCAGGGTGTGGGAGGGGGCTCTGGGCTGGAGCAGGGGTGTGCGTGTGAGGGCTCTGGCCAGGGGTGCGGGCTCTGAGGTGCAGGAGGGTGGGACCAAGGGGTTTGGAGGGCGGGAGGGGGATCAGGGCTGGGGCAGGGGGTTGGGGTGCTGGAGGGGGTCAGGGGTGCAGGCTCTGGGTGGCACTTACCTCAAGCAGCTCCCGAATGCAGCGGCATGTCCCCCCTCCGGCTCCTACGTAGAGGCAAGGCCAGGCGGCTCTGCACTCTGCTCCTACAGGGTGCCACCCCTGCAGCTCCCATTGGCCAGGGTTGCCAGCCAATGGGAGCTGCGGGGGCAGCGCTTGGAGCGGGGGCAGCGTGCAGAGCCCCCTGGCTGCCCCTACGACTAGGAGCTGGAGGGGGACATGCTGCTGCTTCCGGGAGCCGTGC